GCCCGGCGGAGGCAGGCGGGGAGGCAGGCGCGCGCACCGCCCCGCCCCGCCCCGCCGCGGGCACGCCCACGAGCACGCCCCTGGATACGCCCCCTGTCGTTACGACGCGGCCGCTTTACGGCAGTGCGCGGTAACCGAGCGGCGGCGGCGACGGGCGATGAGGCGGCGGGTGAGACCCGGGGGACACGCGAGGGAAACGCGGGACACGGCGGGACATGGCGGGACATAGTGTCAGCCAGGTCCCGGTAAGGACCCGGCGCTGGGCGCCATGCCCGGGGGTCGTGCCGGCCGCAGCCGTCGGGGGTCGGTGCTGGCCGGCCTCGGGCCCGGAAGCTTCAAGCCCGCGTTTTAAGGAGAAAAAGGGGTAAAATGGGTAAGGGAGTGGAGGTGTGTGACGGTGCTGTGGGTGGTCCCTGCTCCCACCCCAGCCAGGCCCTGGGCCGGGTGCACCCTCTCCTGGCCCGTAATTCCCGTTTACTCCCACAAAATAAATGGGATTATTTTATGTGAATAAAAAAGCGATGGGACGAGCGGGATCTTCCCGGGGCTGCTGGCGTGCTCTGATCCGGCACCGGAGCGGCGGGACCCGCTCGGGGTCAGGCTCGGGGTCAGCAGGTCGCTCCTCCTCCGTGGGGCGTGGGACACCCCGATCGCTTCCCTGAGCGAATTCCCACTCCTGACCCGATCCCTGTGCCCTCCAGGTCTTTCAGGCAAGTTACATTCCCTCCCCGCGCCTCCTGCTGCTCCCTGGATTGGACCCTCTCTGCGGGAGGTGAGAGGTGAGTGCATCGCTGGGGTTAGGGATCCCAGCCGGGATCCCCTCGGGACATTCCCGGTGCCCTCGCTCACCCTCGGGTGTTCTGCTCACCGAGGGGTTTTTTCCTGTTAAACTCCAGGTTTTGGTGAGCCCCATCCTGGAGAGCAAAAACAATTATTGTGTGTTGTTCCTGTGGCTCTTGGTTTCGTGCTGTGACACCAAGAGAGGTTCTGAGATTGGTTGTAGGGTCTCTGGTTTGGGGAATTTGTCCAGAACGGAGCAGTTTGGGCATAGTGAGTATGGAACTTGGAGTATTTTCCTCTGATTTCAGCACCCGTGGCCTGTTCATCCTTCAGAAGTGGGATGTTCTTGTATCGTACAAGAGTTATAACCTACAGCTGCAGAGAGATTATTTATATTTAACAGAAAAGGAGACAACTATGCTTCCGTTCTGGCTGAATTGTTTAATTTTCCATGAATTTTTCCTCTGGCTCTGTCAGGAAACACAAGATTCAGGTGTCATCTAGCCTGGCTCCTGCTGGTAAATAGAAATTAATGTTCCTTGTCTGATCTTGCTCCATTAACAACTATCTAGACATGGTATCTAAACCCCGTATCTCCAGGAAAAGTGAATAGAAAGTTAAACCATAAGGTCTTTTACTCTTGATCTTTAAAAGACAAAACCTTCTCTGTCCTTCTTCCTGCTCCCTGATAAAGTCTGGATTTTTTTCAGACCAGTTCCAGGTGACTTATTTTCCTATTTACCTCCATGCTCTTTAAATTAGGAGCAGGACTCTAGTGACGTCTCACCCTGAACTATTCACTCTGGAGGTTCTTAGCACCTTTAATTATTAAAATAGACTTTAGGACTCTGATTCATCCCTGGTTCACGCTCCCGTTGCTCTGTCACTGCCTTTTTATGCTCAGTTACTGAGGAGTCTCATTCCTTGGCTCTCAAGTGCCTTCAGCAATTACTTGCAGAGTGTTGTTGTCTTTAATGGTGTGAAAATGACAGGTTTGGGGAGGTTTTTGGTCAAGTGTTGGAAAATACAGGCTTTGCATTGCCGGACACGAAGGAGCCCCATCCATTTATGGATTGAACTCGCACTAATGCCAGCACCTAATTTGTTAAATTAAATTATTATAACTTCAGTGAGGGAAGCTTGACCTCTTGCCCTACTGATGCAGCACAGCACCGTTTTCAAATCTGTAAATGGAATGATGGTGTTTGTATGGAAATGCTCCTTTCTGTCTCCCCGGTTTCCTCGTCTCAGCATTGGAAATGGGGCAGCTGAAATCCCTTGGAGGAGCTGAGGATTCCAGGGAGTTTGCACAAATTCCAGCTACTAATATGCAAATAAAATGAACCAGCAAGACACTTATTGGCAACCTCCAGCAAATGTTCCAGGCCTGTGCCAGTATTTATTCTTATTTTTATGGAAACTGAACAGAATGTGCCCGAGCCTTCAGGAAGAGAGTCCTGGCTGTGGCTGAGCAGAGCTGCTCCCAATCCACGTTGGGATTTCAACACTCCTCAGAGGCTCAGATCCACGTCCTGGCTCCTCTGCAGATCCATCTTTAGCTCTTGGGAGGTTCTCCCAAAGAAAGCCACCTCACCAGTGGCGTTTCACAGCCCCACCACTTTGTTTTGGTCCTTGCTGCTTACCTGACCTGGCTCTGAGGGAGCCTCCCAAGGGTTTTCCCTTGGAGCTGCATGTGGTGAGTCATCCCACAGAACTCACAGGCAGTTTCACAAATACCAGATGGCAATAAAATTAAAAGTAGTAGCTAGTGGCAATTAAGCACTTGCACTCTCCTTCCTGACTGGAGGAACCTGCCAAATGTCATGACAGGAAAAAAAAAAAGACAACTATGTTTCTGCAGAGTGGAAAATTAACAGAGCACGGGACACACGCTTCCCTCGCTCTTAATCTCATTTGGACTGGAGTGGAAAGCTATTGGCTGGACTTCTACACGTCCAGGAGAAGATGAAGCAGAAAGAATGCAATGTAAAGGAAAATCTGGGGCATTTCGTGGGCACATACAAGAAGTATTTCAGCAGTGCCCATGTTAAACCCCCAAACAGGATGTTTGGAGGCTGTCCAGATCTTTAATCCAGGCTGTATTCAGGCAGGCTGAGGAGTTTCTGGGATTCTGTTGGGATTTCTTGTTTTTATACTACAAGGGTTTGCACCACGAGCTTGGAAATAGTTGGAGCTCATTAAGGTCGGAAGCGTGTCCAAATGCCATTGTGTTTGGCTCAGCATAAACAAGGGCTGTTCCCTTCCTCCGGTGACTCCTGCTGCTCGGCATCTCCGGGATCCACCAGCCACACACCAACGCTCACTGGCTGTTTCATGCCCCAAGCGCTCACCTCGGCCCTTCCTTCCGACGTGTTACACATGGACCATGGCTCATCCATTCTGTTCCTTGCCTGTCATGTGCCAGGGGACCTTGCCAACATTTTTGAGAGATAAATCCCTTAATTTATGCATCCCTGGCCAGGAAGGTTATTCCTCATGATTCATGTCACAATAAGAAGTGTGAATCTACTTCTTCCTAACAGAACACGCCATTTGCTTCATTCTTCTTTATCACGATGGAAAATTGGTGACTTATTTATAGTGAATCATATTAAAGTGATCTTATCATTCTGAGCTTTCACACGAGGCTTTCAGAAATCTGAAGATGTTTTCGTGCTGCCTTTGGGACAGAGGAGGGAAGGATGAGGCCAAAACCAGCTCCATGTCATTTGTGTCCCAAGTTGTGGCATTTCTAGCCCAGTCCTGGCCAGGAAAGGATCTAGAGGCTGAGGATGCATCACAGCACTGAGGAGCCTGGAAGGGCTGCAGGGTGTGAGAGCTAAAGGAAAACCAGGGTAGATATAGGGGCTCTAAATCAAATTTCCATGTGGAAAATTTCCTAAATCCTACTCTGGCTATGTAGAGAGTTGTCATAAAGATTCCCACGGTTGGGAGCGGGTTTGTTTGTGATCTCGTCCTGCTTTGTTGCTCCTTACTCACAGCTGTGCCTCCTGTGCTGGCAGCCCAGCAGGTTCTCCTGGAACAGGTCGTGCCTCTGGCACAGAGCTGGGGCACCCTGTGCTTGGAGAAGGGGACCATATGTCTGTCAGACAGCCCAAGAAGGTTTTTATTTAGGGGAATACTGGTGATGCAAAGAACTCCAGTGCTTGTCACTGCACACAAAACACTGAGACACGCAAACACGACCTGACTTCTGGATCCCTCCTGGTTTCTGTGCAGGAACTGCTCTGAAACTCCTTTCTTGTGAGGTTCAGATCCTCAGGATGGAAGGTTGATCTCATTGGAGCCACAGTAGGTTGCTGCTTAACCCAGCACTGTATGTTCTCCATCTTCTCATGGTCCTGCAAATATCCATCTGGGAATCCTGGGCTCTCACTTACTGCTGCTGAGAAGGAACTTGAGGTGTTTGTTGGGCTGCATCCAGGTGTGGGCTGTATCCCGGGTGTGATCCAGTTCCCAACCCGTGTTCCTCTGTCTGTTGCAGCTCTGGCGGTGCCCCGGAGCAGCGCAGGATGGATCCCGTGGTTCTCAGCTACGTGGACAGCCTGCTGAGGCAGTCGGACGTGGCCCTGCTGGAGCCCCCGAACTGGCTCAACGACCGCATCATCGGCTTCGCCTTCGAGTACTTCGCCAACCAGCAGTTCCAGGAGTTCAGCCACCGTGTTTGCTTCATCAGCCCCGAGGTGGCCCAGTTCATCAAGTGTGCCCTTAGTCAGGAAGAAATAGCCATATTCCTCCAGCCCCTGGACCTTCTCTGCAAGGAGCTGCTGTTCCTGCCTATCAATGACAACTCCAGCCAGGCCGCTGGGGGCACCCACTGGAGCTTACTGGTTTATTTCAGGGACAAGAAGTGCTTTGCCCATTACGATTCCCATAGTAAATGCAACTCTGTACATGCCAAGCAAGTGGCAGGGAAACTGGAGGCCTTTCTGGGAAAAAGAGGGGGCAAAGCCACCTTTGTGGAGGAGAAGGCACCGGCACAGCAGAACAGCTACGACTGTGGGATGTATGTGATCTGCAACGCCGAGGCTCTGTGCCACGGCTACTTCCAGGGCCGGATGGAGCCTCTGCTGCAGCTCCTCACCCCCTCCTACATCACGCAGAAGAGGTCAGAGTGGAAAGCTCTCATCACAAAACTGGCAGAGAAGTGATGGGGATGCACCTCCGGCCCCCCAAAAACTGCCTTCCCAGTCCAAGAGGCAGCACCCCCAGTGCCTGAGGGAGATGCCCATGCACAGGATTGTCCCAAAGAAAAAGAATGTAACCCCTCTAGCATGGCTACACCCCCCAAACACCCCATTCCCTCCAGGAAAAGCCTTATTCTCCTCTCGAAATCACCGGTCTGTCTCAGCTTCTAATGACAAGAGTCACTTTGCTTTCAAAGAAACCCTCTCCATGGTAAATTTTTACAGTAATCGCTGCGGCAAAACAGGTTGCTAAAGAGACTTCTCCACCTGTGCCCAGCAGGCAACACACCCTCATTAGCTGGCTTTAGTTGGCTCCAGGAATTGTCCTTCCAAGCCACGTTTAGCAAATGTTCTTTAAACCCAAGCCCCCAAGTGCTTATCGTGGACAGTTCTAATTTGTGCCTCCTGCTAATGGTATTGGAGAAATGTTGGATTTAGAAGCCAGGATTTTGCACCCCTGAAAATCTAACACTGAGATGTCACTGCAAAAAGATGAGACTGCAAAGGAAATGCTACAATTAATTTAAGAACAGGGCAAAATCAAAGTCATTTTTCATCAGCCAGGTGCTCCTCAGCCACACAGCGATGGCTTTTTTTGGTCCCCCACCCCTGCTTGTTCTTATTGCAAATTAAAACCTGACTCTGAACTGCTGGAAGATTAATAGGAAGCTGAGAAAGCCAATCCTAGGAAAAGAAACTTAATTGAGATGAAAAGCAACACTCACTCTTTGAAGTTTGGTGTTTTTCATTAGGATTTTAGGTCGTCTCTGTGCAGGGAGGGTTTGTCAGTGCTCCCCAACCCTTGTTAGCGGTCGCTGCTCATAACACAAAACCAGTTCTGTTACTTGAGAGAAAAAAAAAAAAAAAAACACACCAGGGAGAACAAAAGGACAGAGTTTGAGGTATAAAAGCCAAAGATAACTGCGGGCTCCTTGAAGTCCTTAATGCACTTCAGAAAACTGAAACACTTCTCTTCCCGTGCTGGATGATGGCTGGGATCCCAGAGTGGATCCTCTCCTTAAAGACAGGCTTAGCAGTGTGGAAAATAAAAATTAAACTGAGATGTCATTGCAGGATAAGGAATAATCTCTCACCTGGTGAGAAGCAAAGAACAGGTTGCTCAGGTGGTGTCTAGCAGAGCAACCACACCCCTACCTGAGACGGGAAATCCGGGTTAAATACAACCCTTGAGGAAGGATTGTTTTTAACCTGGAGCTCTTCATCACCAGTGAGTGCAGCAGCACAGCACTGAGGGGTTGGAGGGCTTCACCTTCCCTTGCTCCAAGTGAATGTCAAGAAATCAGCCCAGGCAGCCCCAAAACACCCTCATGGCAGCACTGGGGCCTGACAAGGGTTGGGGCTGTTCCCCTCCCTCCTAACACTGCCTGGACAGGAGAGCAGCCTCCAGCACCAGCCCTCCCTGGAAAACCCACTCAGCTGGAGCCAGAACAGGATCCAGCTGCTTGCTGAAGGGGATTCCCTTTGGACTCTGAGGGGCTTTGCCAGAGCAACATCACTGCCACTCCCAAATTCCAAATAAAACTCAGACCAAACTGTGTGCTTCCCAGCGTCATCCAGTCCTTGGTGTCCCTGCTAATGCTGTGGTGCAGAGTGTAACAGCATGGTGGCTCTGACTCATCCGTCTGACAGAGCTGCCTTGGCTGATTTAATCTCCCAATCCTATTTTTAGAGATTGGCTTGGGCTGGGGAGGGAGGAAGACAGAAGATGGGACCATGGGTGTGACATGGGCAAGAGCAGGGGGATGTGAGGGCAGGGGCTGTGCTCCTCCAGCACCACCCTGTGCTCCTCATTGTTGTTTCCAGGCCAGCAAGGTGACTGTCCAAGGATGTTCCCTGCACCCGAGGCTTTTACGTGGCATTTCTTTACACAAAGAAAAGCAAATAGGCTCAAGCAGGACGTCATTGGGAGAGCCAACGTGCACCAAACCAGGCAGGCAGACACCAGATGGGAAACAAAACCAGAACCTTGCAACCACACCTGGCAGCAGAGCCCTCCAAAAGCACACTGGGGGTTCATCCCAGTGCTCCTCCAAACCTCCTAGAAGTCACTGCACCCATGGCTCATCCCACTACTGGCTTTAACCAAGGAGTCTTGAAAGGAGACCACATTCCTGGCTTGGCCTCAGCACAGGAGCCCCAAGCACCTGCTGTTGGAGGACCCAACAAACACCAGGCTGGGCACATCGGACCAAACCCCCCCCAGTCCTCAACCTCTAAACCTCTTTTTGGGGCCAAGAGCCCCACTTTGAGGTTGGACTCACTCACTAAACACCAACTTGTTTGTTGGAAAAACAACACCACGTAAACAAGCTGGGTGAGTCCCTGGCGAGGACAGGACGGCGCCTTTCATCCTCCAGGTCACCCAGGGAATCAAAGGCTCCGACAGCCCCATAATGCCAGGGCTCTGAATAAACCAGACCATCCCCCCCAGGCACCCCCGGGTGCTAAATCCCGCCCAAAACAGGTGACACCACCCCTGTCCCCACTTAACCAGTGCCACCGTGGTTTTCAAGTTGGGCCATTTTCATGCATTTTGCTGCATGGTCCAGGCCGGGGAAAGGAGTGGAATTGGGTTGTGAATGTGCAGGGAGGAGGAGGAGAAAGAGGAAGGCTCACCCTGCCCAGCCCAGCTGGGTGGGGCTGCAATGAATGTGCAGGGAGGAGGAGGAGAAAGAGGAAGGCTCCCCTGCCCAGCCCAGCGGGGTGGGTCTGCAACTCAGCTCCCTCCCCAGCAGCGCTGTCACCAGCGCGTCACATCCCGCAGTCTCTGCTGCCATCTAGTGCAGTAACCTCCTTGGCTCCTCCATCGGGAGCATCCCTGTCCCCTTGTCCCCATGTCACTCACGTCCTGAAGGGACTCTGGGACAGCACAGATTTTGGGGTGCCCGGTTTTGGGGCTCACAGCCTAGCACCACTGTGGAGAACGCTGGTAAGAGGCAATGATGTGCTAGAAAATCCAGGGTTTATTTTAATTCCATTTAAAAGCCATTCCAAGCCCAGAGCGAGCAATGAGCTCTTCCCCAGGGCGCCGGGATTTGGCCCCATCAGCACTTGTAGTTCCCAAAAAAACAGGAAAGAAAGGAATCACACCGGTACCACCTGCCACCCCAGAGTGCTCCCAGGGGGGCTGTGGGACAAATCCTGCGAGACAGATCCTGCAGCACTCGGTTCCATGCAGTGACAGGGTTAACACGAACCAGGGCACAGATTGTGCACTCTGGGACATTCCCCAGTGCCAGCCATGGGCTCCTTTCCAGCGTCCTCATGGGGCGAGCAGGACTGACAAAGTTCATCTGTGCCAGGTGTGAACCCCAGCGAGGACACCTGGTCTGGGGACCTTAAAGTGCTTTGCAAGGGATGCACACACACACCCTCCCCTCTCTGAGCTCGGTGCTCCAGGAGAGAAGGGCTGGGGAGCCCTGGCTTGAACCCCCACTGTTGTGTGTGGGATAAATGAGGGACACCCCACAGGGCTAGTGGGCCCTTTCTCCCCATCCCCACAGATCCCTGTATTCAGGGCCATTCCTCCAGGAACATTCCCAGGGATACTGAGGGACAAACAGGTGGGTTCTCCCAGAGCAGCAGTGGCAACTCATCCACATTTCTGGGGGTTCCTGGTGAGCCCAAGGTCATCTTTTAACAAGAAAAAAAACAAGCCTGAAATAAAAATCAGCATCCATCTTAGCAGCAAGTCCTAAGGGAAGGTCCAAGTGCTCGGCAGCCCCGAGCCACTGTCCGGTGCTACAGCACAGCAGTGTCCCAGGGAGAAAACAGGTTTCCAGTGGGATGGGGAGTTGGCACTGGTGGCCAGAACCTGGCTGGAAAGTCCCACCAGGAGCAAGTGCCCAAAGGAAGAGAGAAAATACTTGGTCCCATTTTACCAGCCGAGGGAAAGCCGGACCAAATGTAACAGCCACGGCTGGGAGGACACAGCACCGGGATCCGTGGGCAGGGTGCCACCACCTCAGTGTCCATCCTCAGCCAGCACCTGGGGAGCGGTCACCTGCAAGCAGGGAGTGGGGTAAGATGGGATGAGTAACTGCACAGGCTCCGTATCCCATCCCAGTGCCTTCTGATGTCCTCAGCCCAAGGAGATTCCCCTCCTGTCCATCCCATGCTGACATCCATGGCCTTAGCCCCCAGGCACAGCCCAGCTCCAAAAATGTCCTGGTGCTTCCTACAACTGGAGAACCAGCCCCAAACCAATGAGGAAACCTCTTCCCAAGCTCCAGAGTCTCCAGGACAGCAGAGCTTCCCAGTCACTCAAACCAGCAGTTGATGGGATCACCTCTGGTCTGGAGATGGCACTGTGGGTTCTGTCACTGGCCAGCCCAACAGCAGGCCCAGGATAAGGGACAAAGCATTCCTTAGACACATCACAGAGCAGAGCCATTCCTCTTTGCACCCACATTCCCTCAAGTCCTCCACTCATGTCATGAGCTGTGTGTCCCACAACGTCCTTGAGGGCCCCTCACCTCCTGTGCCCGCGGGAGAGGTAATCCCGGTTCAGAGAGCAGAGCTGCTGCTCCAGACGGAAGATGCGGAATGCCAGGTACGAGGAGGACACAACCAGGAGACAGATGCTGGGAACAGAGGAAGAAGCCAAACACCCAGTTGAGACTGAGACTGACATTCCCAGTGTCCCCCCAGCTTCCCAGCACCCTTGGCACTTACAGCACGATGAAGATCTTCAGGAGCTGGTAGTCAGAGGGTCTCAGCTCTGCCACACAGCTCTGCTCCACCTCCAGCTCCTCCTCGGTGTTTATTGCACTTTCTGAAAGCAAACCCAGAGTCAGCGGCACAGCCACACTTGGCTGATGCTCCTGCTCCTACAGCAACCAGAAAACATCAAATATTCCTCCCTCATGGGCTCAGACCCTGCAGCCAGGAGACCCCAGCCCATTCCCAGGACTCCATAGTTGACTCCCAGCCTAATCTGTAAGGCAGAATTCCCCTGCACGAGAGCAGAGGATGGATGAACACACTTTTATGGAGCTTATCACCCATGTGGAGCAGGGCACAATCTCATGCCCCTCACCTGAAACCAGTGGCTCCTCAGAGGTGAAGGAGCTCTCCTTGGTGCTCAGGCTGCTGACAGAGGCCCGGTGGATGCACTGGTAGTCGGCATCTGGCAGTGACAGTGACAGTGAGGTAGGTGACACCTTCCTCCACTTGCCCTCAGGGACAATCACCTCCTGTGGGAACAGTCCTGGTGAGCCATGAATGAAACCAGCACTGCCATGAATATGGGGGAGCCAGATTCAAACTCAAACCTTGGAGCACCAGCACATTGAAAACATCATCCCGAGGGAGAGCTAGTCTTCCATGATGGCTCCCTAGGAATGCAGGTTCCTACTATCAAAGAAGGACCTGCCCATACACCCAACACCTGCCCCAAATACCAGCTGCTGCCTCCTCTACCCCTTGAAGCTCAGGGTGGACACCTGGAGTTCTCCAGCAGGCCCTAAATAGGGCAAAAAAGTGCCCCAAAAAGACAACAAATCAAGCAGGGCGGCAGCTGGCACAGAGAGGGGCTCCCATAATGGAGAGTTCCCAGGGCTGGAGCTGCTGAAGGGCTGCATCCCACTGAAGCACCAGGAGATAATGCCAGATCAGCCTGGGTCACTCCCAGTTCAGGCCGTGAAATGAATCTTTAACCCCTGGGATGTCACCAGGCCATGGGTGACATCCCACCTGTCACCCTCTGGTGCACCCCAACTGTCACCTCCTGCACGCAGCCCGAGGCTCAGGACCAGCAGCCATGGAAGACACCCTGTTCCAAAGGTGCAGGATATGGCTCCCATGCTCCCTGGATCATGCCATGGGTCAGCAGGTGTTTCCCTCTCCCACCATCCTACTCATCCTGCAGATTTTTGGGTAACTCAACCACATTCCCAGCCTGTTATCCACATTCCCAGCTGTGAACAGCATCAGCCGCTGGGGAGCAGAGTGGTGGCATTTTTCAAATCTCTGAAGTTTTTCTGTCTATACACAGACAGAGTCACTGGCTGTGCTCAGGCAGCCCTATTGACCCATCTGCTCCTGCCAAGTCTGGGGATGAGGGTCCCAGAGGACAAGCTATGATGGCAACAGGCACATCCTTGCACCCTTTGATGGCACCAACAGAAGAACCAGCTCTCTCCTGACTCTCTGAGCAGCCACCAGACAGTGTCAAACCCACCAAGGCAGGCCCTCTCCACCCACAGCACGAGCTCAGGGGGTCTCTCCTCTTCTCTCCCAGAGCTGCCCTGACTCTCACCAGTGACACGGAGTCCGGCTCCTCCGACAGCTCCTTCAGACTCAAGCTCTTCTTACTGGAAACCTAGATGGGGAGGACAGGATGGGGCATTACAGTGCCAGCTCTCCCTGCTTCAGCCTCAGCCACAAAATGGAATCTGGGCTTTTCTGCTAAGACTATGAAGAGCAGCTGCTAGAACTTATAATCATGAGGATTTGGGGCATGGGGAAAGGGCACTGCATCAGTGCTTCCCATCACAAAAACCTGGTGGGGCCATGATTGAGCCAAGGGCTTCCATGGACAGGATAAAACATCAGGGGGTAAAAAAAAGAAGGGTACATCTGGGCAGAGCCCATTTCAATGAATAAGTCCCCCAGTTTGGCAACAGGGCTGAATCATCCAAATGGTTGCCCTCGCACAGCTGGCACACACCCTCCTGGGCAGGGCAGGGCAGGGCTCCTGTATGGCTTCCCACATGCTTCAAAGTCAGGGAGAAGAGGTCCCCACAGTCATCCTCTCCAGCTCAGGGGCTGATGGATGTCTTCCCCCACTTAAGTTAAATTCTTTAACTTTGTACCATTCTTTCTCCCCTTAAAACTTTAGATCTGGGCAAAAGGCATCAATGTGCAGAGTGGCAGAACTAGTATTACCACCAGATTATAAATAATTCATACCCACGCCCTGAGAGAGAGCAGAAACTCGGAGCTCTGCCTCATCCATGACCCAGAAAAGCCCACAGGGACAGGACGTGCCCAAGGCATGGCTCCTGCCCCCTTCCCATCCCTTGCTGAGGAGTGAGGATGCTGGGAATTGGAGAAGGCTTTGGGAGCAGTCCAAAGCCTTGGAGGCAGTGATGAAGAGCTGTGCTCAGCCCGAAGGGAAGGTGCAGAACCTCAGGGCCATGGACACACGGTGGGACACAGAGTGGAGGTACCTGCAGGTGGGTGCAGACTCTCCTCAGGACATCATAGACGCTGTCACGAGAGATGAGGGATACAAAGATGTACTGCAAGAGAAAGAGGCGAGCTGTTGGGAGAGATTCCCCCCATCCAGAGTCCAGTTCTCCACAGGCAGTGACAGGCAGAGACATCATGCCCTTGAATCTCCCCGTTTTCAGGAGTCACATCTCCCCCACAGGCATTTCCCTGTGGAGCTTCCCTGCTGTTATTTTTGCAGCCTGCTAAAACCTGGACCAGATTTTTTTGGGGCCAGTCTTGCTCAGTTGCTGTTCCTACAGTTTTCCCATGCTCAGCCCAGAGGGACACGGCAGCAAATGGGGCCAGGACCTACAGAAAACATCCCCAGGGATGGAAGGGACACAGGGCCACACTCACCATGCCTGACACAGAGCCCCTGGTGACATGCAGTGCAGCCACACATGGCTTTGAATGCCCATATCCTACCCTGTGCCACTCCCTGCTAAAACCCACCTCCCAAATTCCACAGGAATAACTGCCTCCCAACATTCTGCAGGAACAACCCCCTCCCTGGCAGGGACAGGCAACACACAGTGCTGGCAGCAGCACCTGGGCAGACGAGGACTTGGACACACTACATCAGCTCACTGCAGCCAACAACATCCAACAGGATTTAAAAGCTGGAAACGCAGCCCTGTATCCATGTTTTCCGCCAGCTCTGGCTGAATGCCAGCCCAAACCCTTTCCCTACTTGTGCTTAAGGAGTTTAAAGGTTTTACGTGAGCCTGGCAGGGATTTGTCAGGCTCGGCCGAGTTTCACTTGGGCTTTGCTTCGTCCAGGAACAAAGTGAAATTCAGGAACAAAAGCAAAGCTGTGGTGTTTGCCCTGGCTGGCAACCAGCACAGAGAGCAACTCTCACTCTCTAACCAGGGATGGGAATCGCTTCCTTCGCTGCTCTCAAACCACATCCAGTTTGGACCTGGGCATCTGCTGTGTGTTGGTGTTACCTTTCTGCTGGCGGTGGTGGTGATGGCCAGGCCGTTGGGCAGCAGCCGAGCCGTCTTGTGCTTCTTTATCAGCTGTACAGACACCACTGGGATCACCACCTGCAGGGCAGGAACACTGGGATGGACACAGCACAAGCATCTTCCAGCCAGCCTCCCTAAGACCCGTCAGAAGAGCCCCCTGTGCAAGCCCAGGGAGGGTGAAAAATAAGGCAGGACGTTATTTTTGGCAGGGTAACTTTGCTGAAACCTCGAGCTTCCTTCAGGTATTTGTTTAAAGCATCACATATAAATAATTCAATCCTTCAGCCCAGTTTTAAAGGAAGCTGTCTCTGCCCAAGATCCCCGTCAGCCACAAGACTAATGGGGAAACATCAGATTGTAAATCAAGAAGAAAAGCCAAGAGAGATTCAAATCTCACCCCCCCCAAAACCTTTGATCTTCCTTGAAGCACCACTGCGGCTGGAAGGAGGTTTTGCATCAGGGAATTTTAAATCAAACCAATATTTGGTTTCCCCAGGCTGATGCCACAGGTCATCAGAGCGGGAGGCACGGCTGTGCTCCCTTTCCTACTGGAGGTTTTTGTTGGGGATTTTGGTGGTATTCTGGTGAAAGAGGGGATGAGCTGTGGTTACAAGCCCTGAGGGACCAGGGTGGGCTGGTGCCCACGTTACCTTAATGTCCTTCCCAAAAAGGTTTGCGTAGAAGCAGAGCCAGTTGGGGGAGATGTAAAGCCTTCCCTGGATGAGGATGTCTCTCTGGAGCGCGCAGGAGCAAACTGCAAGGCAAAGAGAGAACCGTGGCAATGCCTGTGCCAGATCCTCCCGTGCCGATCCTCCGCCTCCGTGCCCATCCCTCACCCTGCCACGCACCTTTCAGCACGCTCTCCTCCGTCGGGATGTCCTTGAACAGCTTGTGGTACTGGGAGTTGTACTTGCTAGCAGCCTGAAAGAAAAGCAGAGCAAAGTTATCCGGTGACCTTGCCGATAAGGAGATCCAAAAATCCCTCTCCTGCAAGAAAACCTCCCTCTGCCCGCACCCGGGACCGGCGCAGGGGGGTCCCACCGGGCTGGGAACAGGAGCCCCGACGGATTAGAGGAAGGCTGGATGATCCAGCACCCGGCGAAGGCTGTGCCATCCTCCCAGATTAACATTTCCCTTAATAGCTACAGGGGCTGCTGGTGAGGAGCCGGTTTTCTGCCAGGCTCCTCTGCAGGCAGTTTGTTTTGCCCAGCGGTTTCTCTCCTCCTCCTCTTCCCTTATCCGGGACACAGTGACAACACTTGCTTTGCGCCCATCGCGCCGCGCCATCCAGCTATTTATATTCCCGGCGCCACTTCAAAGCCTGCCGGCAGCCGCGGCGGGAGGCTCGGCAGGTCGGCCCTGAAACGCTCCTGTGGCGAAGGTAAAGCTCCGAAGCACTTCAATATCCTCCAAAAATCTGCTCAACCGGTCCTGTAAGGCAGCTTTGTGCCCCCTGCCCTCGGGATGCTCCCATGGGATACGGCTGTCCCGCTGTCACCAAGGCAGGAGCTGCTTTGCCAGGATGCAGAGAAGGCTGGCGCAGCAAGGCTGGTTGGTGGCAGCCACGCAGGCAGAGCCCTCCTGCCCACAGGTACGAGGTCACCTGTGCTCTGCGCACCTTGTCACCGGATGAGCTGGGCCCTAAGAGGATCAAGGTTCAGCAGCACCTGCAGTTGGCTCAGACCTCCCAGAGGGATGCTGGGATGGTGGGGGTGCCAGTGGGAGCATTCCAGGAGAACACGGAGGGCATTACCCCCTGGCCCCAGCACAAATCCACTGCTGGCCCTGTCACCCTCCCAGATGCCTCTGAGGAAGTCGAAAAACGTTCTTCTCCTCAATTTTCTTCATGGAAAAAGGCAAAAACGCCATTTCCTGTCACTCCTTCCTCTTCCAGAGCATCTCCTATCTGTAGACGGACCTAAAAAACTATCTAGTTTGGGCATGATTTGAACAAGCAGAAAGATTCAAATGGACAGAAATTTATCTGTTCTCAGTCAACATTTCCACTTTCTCCTTTGCTCTAGATGGAAAATCCCGGAAGCATTTGCAAGGTAGAGCACGGGCCACACAAAACCATCACCACATCTCCTGAAATTACACACAGGAAGCTCCACATCAGAAGATGTCTCTGACTCCTTCAGCCCACAGCTGAGACCCCAGATAGGCTCCTCCTGGGGCAACAGGCTACAACACTCCAGCCTGGTCATTCCCAAAGCCAAAGGCTTACCACTTCCCGGTGGCATTTCTTGATGTCCTCATCCTTGAGGGCTTCGTTCAGGCGGAGGCTGGAAAGAAAAACGATAATCACCAGGTAAGCAAAGAGCAACAGCTCTCTCATCTGCTGCCTAAAACACGTGTGCTGCAATATGAGACATAAAAAAATGTAAAGGACTGAAGAGAGACCCCCAGAGAGCCACATTTTGGGTGTCTCCGTGATTTATCATGGCACTGGGCACTGCTGAGGGTCAGTACTGGCTGTTGAGGGCTGATCTCTGACGAGAGCCAGTGAAGGCACCAGGATCAAGGTACTTCACACACTCAGCTCTGGGGGAAGGAGCTGTCCTGGCAGCAGCTTAGGACAGGTTGGGAGTGGAAATGTGCAGATTTGACGGTGGGGGCAAGGATTCCTCAGGGAAAGCAGAGGCAGGAATTTGGGAATGTGCCTGAGCAGGAGGGTGGACTCAGCTTTGGTCGTGCACAGGGACATCCATCCATGTCCATCCCATGGACAGATGGAAGGACAAACCATGGAGAGAGCAATATCCTACCAACAGCCTCAGCAGTGGGAATACCATCCCCTTCCCCAAAACCTTTTCACTTCCCTGCTTTTATACCCGCAATATTTCAGAAAGAAAATGAAATTGGGTGCCCCCTGTGCCCTGCTCCAGCTGACAGGCAGTATTCAGGGCTTGAAGGCAGCAGGAATGCCACAGCAGGACAGAAAAGAGAGAGCACTCAACGGCAGGCAGACCTTGGGATGCTGCTCCTCACCTGCCGTCGAGGGAATCCAAACTCTTCTGCTTGTGGGACACCTCCAGCTTCTCACGACCGTGCCTGGGCTCGGGGCTCTTCAGGGGAGCTGCCTTCTCATGCATCGGCGTGGCACTGCAAGGAGACACCCATCAGCCCCCTAGGGAAAGGGGAAAAGGGGTCTGGAGCTGTAAATCTGTTCCCTTCAATCCCAGCCTGCACAGAGACATGAGAATCTGCCGCTCAAGGACAGCAACAATACTTCTGCTATTTCTCAAGTCATATGGAGATTTAAAAAAAGTCATTTTTCTGCCAGGGACACCGTGGCGCTCAGAACAGAGCAGCCAAACTGCTGCGGCTCCCTGCGATAACACCCTCCAAAGCAGAGACTCTTCTCCTTAAATGCTGGAAGCTGGGATGGGAAAAACCACAGGGCTATGAAACTCCTTGGGGGGACGGATTTCAGCCAGGGTCTGCTCCTCTTGGTCAGCAAACACCATGCTCCCAGGGCAGAGCTATCACCAGGCACCGTAGAGCCACTTATTTACCATTGGGAATGTTATCAGAGGTTGCTTATCAGCCACGGCAGGCAAAGCAAACACGGGCCCAGCGCCGCAGGCAGGTTATCACCTGGCAGGCCACAAAGGTGACACTTCCACCCTCGGCAAACCACTGGATATTGCTGCAGCACTGGCAGCCAAGCAGAGCACCATCCCAGGGGACCGGTGGCAAGGCAGAGCCAGCAAACAGCCACAGACCCATGGAGAGGAAATTATTCCAGGGAAAGCACTCAGCTCACTAGGCAGGGGGCGATGGCAGAGCAGGTGGGGCGGCGGCAGGACAGGATGAGCGCCAGCAGGCGGGACAGGCGCAGAGCTGGAGCGCATCCCGGGGCCCGCGGGGGTGATGCCGCGGCAGTGCGGCAGAGCCCAGGCCGAGGAGCCAACCAAACTTCCTGCACTCTGAGAGCAGCTCCTTCGCCACCTGTACTTCCCTAGACACATCCTGCTCCTGCTCTGAGGGGCTCGTCTGAAGGAAAACCCATGGAAATAATCCCCCCAACTCAGGAAAGCCAGGAGAGGGGTGCTGGATCCCAACAGCTGGATCCCAGCATAAATGGGCTGAAAGCTGAAGCTGTGTGAGCTCCCACATCCCCACAGCCTCAGAGCCCAACCAAAACACTGTCCAGGTGCAATGGAGCTCAGCTGACTCCCAGCTGGAGGCACAGGGAATGCTCCCACAACACCTAACACATACATGGGGGCACAGAACCAAAGAGAAGTCACTGGTGCCTTGAGGTTGGAAACAGGCTGGGAAATAGCCCTGGATCCCCACAGCCACTGTTGGCAAAGACCTGCCTGCACAGCCCTGGAGTCCAAGCACTGCAGGGATGGGATGGACACACTGAGGTTGTGGGTTTTTAGGAGCTCAGGTCAAAGGATGTGTCAGGAAGGAAAAAGAGACCTTACTGACAAGAAGCAGCAAAATAACATCGCCTGGCATAGCATCCAAAGGTGTTTTCCCTGGCTGGCTCCTCAGGTATCCTCTGCCAGGGGATGCCATCCTGCCCTTAGACTGAAACTCCTATCATGGAGGCACCAAGCCTCCATCTGCCCTTCTCTCATGCTGGAAAGGGGCTCTGACCCAATCTGGAGCCTCCTTGCCCAGAGCTCAGCACTCTCTGGCTTCCCTCACGTCATTCCTTAAATCCGCAAGTGCCTGCACTGCTTAATCCGGGTGAGCGGATTTATCCCCAACCGGCGCTGACACCAAGGGGCACCACACAGGGATTGGGGAGAGGCAAAGGCATCAGAACCACCTCTGAGGTCACCAAACACACAGAAATCCCCTAAAATGAGAAAACACACAGGCTGGAAAGCACTTGGAAGTGCTGCATCCTTGTTTTCTCTCCCTCTCATAGCCACCATCAGGGACAACTCCCGGACACAGTGCTGGCAGTGGGATGCTCCAGGGGGAGTCTGGGGGCTGTGAGGAGCATCCTCAGCTCCAGCAGGGACATCACAGGAGCTGCTTTGTCTCCTCTGTCCAGATCTTGCTCCATCCTGGCTCCTAGATGTATCAGGGCTAATAATGTATGGGATGCATCCCACACATCCAGAGTGTGGGAGCACAGGGTAAGGCTAGGCTCCAGGCACAGGGAGGTTTCCCTTCCAAGAGGTGCTTCCAGTGCCAGCACAGTGAGAAAAACTCTTTCTAGCAGCTCATACTGTCACCCTCCTCAAAGAATTTGTTCAGCACCAAGCTGTTCCTAAGGTAAACTCACCATCCCAAGTGTCCCAAAATAAAAGTGGAACAAAACCAGTCGGAGTTCAGAGCTCCAGAGAGGAGGCAGAGAGGGTTGATGTAGAAGTTCCCAGCAAGGTGAAAACAATCCAGCGACCTTTTGCCCATTTCTGACACCTCCTACCCGCCCACCCCGGCTCCCTGAACGCCCAGGTTTTGCCACGCGAAACCCGGTGCTTCTCCCTCCCACGGGATCCGCGTCTCCCTTCCCTTACGCGGCGCTGGGATCCAGCCTGGAAAAGGTCCGGCGCGAGCCCCTCCGTCGTCGAACGATTTTCGCTGGATCCCTTCCCCGCTGCCGGAGAAGCGCGCGGCGGAGGCCGGAGCGAGCCAGGCAGGGATCCCGCCTCCCAGTGAACCCCGGGAGGCTCAGAGGCGGAGGGAGGCACCGGCGGGCGGGCGGCCGCGGCCCGAGCGAGCCCGGGCGGGATTCGGCGAGCTGCCCTTGGTCCCGGCGTCCAAGGTCATTTCAGTCCCGCGTGTCGGAGCTGGAGCGGAGCCACCCCGGGATGCTGGAGAGGAACGGCCGGAGCCGAGCGGCGCTGGCGGGAGAGAACGAGGCGCGACGTCAAGGCCGGAGGGAGCCCCGCGTGTCCGTCCCGCGGTGTGCCCGGTGTTCCCCGCCCCGGGAACCGGGGGGTCACGGCCGGGACGGAGCCGAGACCCGGGTCCCGGGATGCCCGCAGCGCCCGGGGCGCTGGGTCTCATCTCAGCGGGAGCCGCTCCGGGCGGGGCCCCGCGGCACGGAGGGAGCACGAAGGGAGGCGACCCTCGTGCTGCGGGGCTGAGCGGGGCACGGCGGGACTGCGGGTCTCGGCCAGCGCCGGGGCCGCGCCCGGGGCAGCCCCGGCGCAGATCCCATCCCCGCCGGCGCTCAGAGCCCCTCAGGCGAAGCCGGCGGGTCACCGGCGGGCAGCGGCGGGACTTCTCCCCGGCCCGGCCCGGCCCGGTCCGTCCCGTCTCTTCAGGGAATGGGCGACGGGGTGTCGGTGTTTCCGCGCTCCCCTCAGCGCGGCGCCGCCGGCCGGGACAGGCCGAGGGCCAACACCGGCTCCGCGGCGGCGGCGGGAGGGACGTGGCCCCGGCACCCTCCGGCCCCGAAGCCCTTCCCGGTCCCAACCCCCCTCAGTCCCGGGTCCCCCCCCGGTCCCGGAGCCCCCCGAGCCGCGCGGCCCCGCGCGCCGCCGTCATGCCCCGCGCGCCCCGGCCTCCTCGCGCCGCCACGGCGCCCGCCCATTGGCCGCCTGTCGCCTTCCTCCCCACCCATTGGCCGCACACTGCCGAGCCCCGCCCCCTTCCTTCCGCCCATTGGCTCCCACCGCCCGGTCCCGCCTCCGCCACACTGAGTACCACATCCCGCCCCCACAGGCCCCGCCCACCACCGTGAGGGCCGGAGCCTGGCGGGGTCCCGGCCCTTAAAGGGAGCGCGGTACAGCCTCTTAAAGGGGCCGCGCCGCGAGCGAGCTCCGGGCTTCCTCCGGCCTGGGCGGGTCTCAGGCCACGCGGGAGGGACCCCCAACAGGCCCCAGGTCCCCTGCTGGCAAATCCCCCAGGCACAGAAACCCCAGCTCTCAGACTCCCCACTAAAACGCCTGTAGAGCCCCACTGACTCCACCTTGG